CTACCTGAATCTTACATTTTCCCACATACATTAATAGCATTGATTCATCTAGTTTCTCCTGAAAAAAACAAAATTGAAATCCATTAGACACAAATCAGTTCTCTCTCTTTCTCCTCAGGTCTTTCACAAAGCACATTAATTTTTAACCATTCATTTGGCCATTTTCATCCTAGCTCTCATCTTTTTTTTTTATTATTAATTTAATTTGTATACCGCCCTTCTCCCAGAAGGGACTCAGGGCGGTGATCAGGGTGGTGATCTGTGATGATAATGATATGATGATGATGATAAGAAACATTCTCACATGAGATCTCTAGATCTATAGCCAATTTTCATACCCCTCTAACTCAGGGGTGTCAAACTCAATTTCATTGTGGGCTGCATCAGGTTTGTATTTGACCTCGGGGGAGGCATGGCCAGGATAGGCATGGCCACCTTGACGTCATTCATGTTGGGGGCACTTCTGCCAGCAAAAACAGGCTCCGGAGCTCTGTTTTTGGCTGCAACAGCCTCCTGCAACCCTCTGCCAGTGAAAACTGAGCTTGGGGGGGGGGCACGTGTGGCCCTCGCGAGCTCTGTTTTTGGCCACAATGGCCTCCTGCAGCCCTCTGCCAATGAAAGCAGAGCTTGGGGGGCTGCACACTGCTCCCCTAATCTCCATTTTCGCTGGCAGAGGGCTACAGGAGCACCCTGTTTCCAGGGCAGCCCTCTGGGCCAGATCTAAGCATCCCAGAGGGCAGATCTGGCCCGCAGGCCTTGAATTTAACACCCCTGCTCATTAAAAATGTTATAAATATGACTGTCCTGGTGCTCCAGTGTTAGCATCTTCCTCTGAAACTGAGAGGAGCAAACACCACCATTTCCTGGAAAGGAAATTCAATGACCTTTCCACAATGACTCCTTTTAAATATTAGCATTGGAAAGCTGTTCAGCCCACACAGACCTTTCTTCATTTCTCAACAATTTAAAGTAGTGTTCTTCTTTAAGACTGGGAAAAGATAAGAGGGGATTGTTCAGGATGAATTTTGACTTCAGCTGAAGAGTGGGGGGGGAGAGTATAAGGAGGAGTTGTTTCTTTTTTCCTGATTGCCATTTTATTGGATTTAAATTTTAATTAAAGTTAACTGTATTTCTAGTCATTGTCTCCTTTCATTTGACTCTTAATACAATCTTAAATGCATCTCACGCATACAGTGCGATCATTTTCAAACACTGCTTGCACAGCTCTCTCAGGCAGAAGGGAGAAATTCTGTTAGGACATAAAATCCTGGTTGGTGATGAGAAAGTGATTTAATTTAGCTGTGGGTTGGAAAGTAGCCAGAGATGCATTCCTACTTCGTTCGTATCAGGAAATATAAAAGTACCAAGATGGGTACCTAATTAATATTCAATGCATCTGAAAAATTGATATGCGATATTGTATTCAGAGAATTCATGGTGAGTAGGGAGAATATCTGAGGTAAATAGCATTCAGGATAGGGGAAACTTCTGGAACTGCTGGTTATTCGGCCACACACTTGGTTGTTACTGAAATAAATGCTATGATGCCTCCATCAATGCTTCATGACAAATAAGAATACTATATTCTGCTTCGTCAGCATTCACTAGCTGATGAAGAATCTTCCATTTGCTGAGGTAGCAGAATGGAATTGTATTTGCCCTTTTTTAAAAAAAAAAATCTGCATATTTCTGCATCTCTTTGCTCCTGAATATTATTGCAGTCTCACACGGATCCTGCAGATAAATAAAGGGAGGTGCAGATAAGTAAAGGGAGGCTGAGGGAACAAATAATGGCCACGTTTTGTCCTTGTTTCATTTGATTGATCAGAAAACCATCCAATATATGATGTACCAGTCTGTAAAATCAATCCCCTCTCAATCAATTCAATTACAGCAGTAACTAGACACTGTATTAAAGATGGCTGATTTGAGTCAGCCCTGCTGTATATAAATCCAACAAACTTTGATACCCTTCATCAAAGTGTTCTCACTACCTATATTTCAAGCATGTAATTCCTCGCTCCAAATAAATTTCCAGAGATCTCTGTTAAATAGTCATTGATGTCTTTCAGTCTGGAAAGGTTATAAAACATTTTCTAAACTTCTGCAGCTTCACCCATCCACACAGTATTGAGACAGCCATAGATCTGCAGTCCTCTTTTGCCTTGGCTATATCGCCATTAAATCATTGGATAAAAATGAAAATCAAAAGAAAATGGCAAGGCAAAAATCATGGATCACTATCAAGAAAATTGAGGTTTACCTCAAGCTTGCCCTGAGAAAGCAACTGGATGAGCCACCAGAATTTGGGGAAAATATATTGGGGCTATATGGTGTTATAATACCCAGGGAAAACCAAGCAAGGGATTCCATAATAGAAACTTCCTATCCACTGTCAGGGATAATGTTATGCCTTGGGGATGATTTGCTCCTTTAGGATCTGAACAACTTTATCTCCTTAAAGGAAACACTGTTGGAAGACATATCCATCTGGTTCAGTTTCAAGTGGGGAGAAAGACACTGGAAATATGGAGGCTGATTAGAAAGATGGTTTAATGGTGAAGCAGAACCATCAAGCATATATGATTCTGGTTAGTTGACCATAGGCAGTGGAGAGTGGGGGTTATTTATACCGTCTCTTGGGTCTTGCCCTTGAGTTTCCTGTTCCTGTGGCAAGATCCTGTATTCTGTTGGTTGCTGTAGGGGTCATAGCTAACTTTTTAGGTTGTCTGAGTTAAGTTTGATTGAAGCTTGGACTCTCTGAGATGATGTAATGAGAAGGCTTGTGTCCTGAAAGGGTGTTGGGCCGTTCCTATTGTGACTTAATGGCTTCCCTGGTTTGGATCTTGAATGAGTGCTGATCTTACCATTCTATCTAATTCTGCCTTGGTTCAAAATATCCTGTCTTGAATGGATTACCAAATCTGCATTTCTAAAAGCTGCCTCAGTTTAGTATCTGCTTGGGGGCAGGGAACTGTGACTCTGAGTTTCTGAGTTCCCTTAAGATTTCTATTTCTCTTTTAGGAGAAATATAATATTCTGCTTTTTTAATATTTCCTAAAATATATCATCCTTCTAGGAAGGGTGGGTGCTAACTTTCTATGACACCAAGAAGAAATTCAGAAGTTGGGAATAGCCAAGTCAGAACCCAGAACCAAACCCAACAAAAATATTGTGTCAGTTCCTGAACAGTTATTATTATTTTTAGTCACACAGTCAGCTAGATGTTTAGATTGGATTAGGCCTAAGGACCCAGGATAAGCAGATGTTGTTTAATAATATTAAAGTTATCATCTCAGGATGTAAGCTATTCCAAGTAAAACTGTCTTTTGCAATTTACTGATAGTGATTTTGTCAGTGCCGATGCTCTTCAAGTGGTGTTCCAGATGTTTTGAAATTGCATCCAAGGCACCCATTACTATTGGTAATAGCAATAGTAATACTTTGCTTTCTTTTGCCACAGTTCTTCCACTTGTATTCGCAGGTCTTTATATTTTGTGATTTTCTCCAGTTCTTTTCCTTGTGTTCTGCTGTCTGCAGGTATTGTGATGTCTTTGCAAGACTTTTTTGTCTTTATTGACAATTGTTAAGTCTTGCATGTTATGTGGCAGGTGCCTGTCTTTTTGAATTCTAAAGCACTGGAGCATTTTAGCTTTTTCATTTTCTATTACTTTGTCTGTTTCGTGGTCCCACCCAGTTCTTGTTTGTAGGCAAATCTGTATGATCTTACAGCAGCTAACTGGGTACTCTACTTATTACTATTATTATTTGCTGCTTTTGTTAGATTTTCATGTTCTCTATCTGACTATATATCTATCATCTATCTCATCAACTCAAGGCTACTATATACTTAATCTAATGCTGTCACCTTCTGTTTTTCCCATAGCAACACCACTGTGAAGTGGGTTGGACTAAGAGAATATGACTAGCTGAAAGTCATTCCCTGCCGTAGTCTACTAGTTTGTAGACCAGCACCACCATTATGCCAAACTGGTTCAAATTGGTTTATTCTAGAAAATGTAAGTTGAAGCAGATCTCCATAGAATAGTGGACCAAAATTCTTATGTAGAATATAAGAAACTGCACACCAGTTTCAAGAAGTGTCTGCTACACAAATGGAAATATCTATGCTCCCTTTGTATAGCAGTAGGAATCATAAAACTCTGATAATGTTCTCCAGCAAAGGTAGGCAAAAACTCCAAAAACCCCAAAGGAGCAAATATTATTAAATTAAAGATCTACAGTTGTTCGTGGATCTCATATTAGAGATAGCTAAAAATTCTCCATAGAAAATGCATACATTGGTGACAGGCTTAAGCCAAAAACCAGTTGGTTCACATTCAGTTTTAATGATTAATGATCATTAATGATCAAATTAATGATAAGGTGTTTTGTTCTTGAAGTAGGACAGTCTGCTATAATCCATCAATTGATTGGCTGTGCAGATTCAGACTGCAAATAGAAAACACCTTTTTTTAAAGCATTCAGAGAAAATCAGATAATGCAGGATCAGATGTCCAAATTCATAAGGAGCTTGTGTCACTCAGTGCCTTCTATTATAGCGGATTTACATTCCACTACCAATGCATTAAAATCGTTAAATTGGAATATGCACTATACTCTATTTGCATTTCAGTTTCAATTCTACAATATTAGCAAAACACAGAGGCAACAAAAAGTGTTTCAACATCAGCCCCATCTTGTTGGTTTTGCCCCACTGTCATCCTTTGTCCTGACTATTTTTGGGTTTGGTTTGGTTATCTTTCTTTTCAGGCTTTTCATTTTTGGCTTATTATTCCTTATTTCTTCTCTAGATTCTGTAGCCCTTTGGGGGTAATCAACATTATAGTCTGTATGAATGGAATAAAAACCCCAAATGTAACTTCAGTACAAGCTCCTTACATATTGTTTTGAAAAGGACTTCTCAAAATAAACACTGTCCTAAAGTTTTAATATTGTTGTCTTGTAAAACAACTAAAAAAAATCTCATCTAATTTCAGACTATGTACTTCTGAACAAAAGACTCTGCTGGAGATTATCATTTAATCTGTGGTTGAATCCATATGGCAGATCTGTGAAGAAATTGGCCTGATCCTGCTATCAGTATGGTAAGTGGTATTACACAACAATGTAAACTAATGTATTGACCAAAACTGTGATTAAAATTCTGTGCATTATCAGATCTCAGTACTTTGGCTGTGAGGGGAAGTACTGTTAAGTAGCCATCTGTAGAATTGTAATTATGTGAATGCATTCTGAACCGAGAAATTTTTTAGCTGTAAAACAGATGCTTGCAGTGTGTGTGTGTGTGTGTGTGTGTGTGTGTGTGTGTGTGTTTACAAGAAGATAACAAAGAATACAAAATAAAAGAGTGAGAGGAGGGAAGAGAAAAAGAAAGATAAAAGTGCAAAAGAAAAGTATAACTACAAAATTGTCTCTTTGTGGCTACAAAAATCTTTTTTCTATTATCTAGATTTTTTTTCTAATTATCAAAACCACGAATCATGTTCATTTTTTTTGTTTCAAGCAAAAAGTCTATAATAAATTTCCAATCAGTTCTAAGCGGAGATATTATCTTTTCAGTAATCAAAAGAGTCAGTCTAACCATCTCTGAGTTCAATCATCTTCAATTTTAAATCAGGTAGGCCCAATCCTCTTCTTACCTCTCCATCTTGTAATATCTTATGTTTAACTTGTGTTTTTTTGCCCTGCCATACAAATATATGTTATGGGGATGTGGTGGCTCAGTGGCTAAGACGCTGAGCTTGTCAATCGAAAGATCAGTAGTTCAGCGGTTCGAATCCCTAGCACCGCGTAACAGGGTGAGCTCCCGTTACTTGTCCCAGCTTCTGCGAACCTAGCAGTTCAAAAGTACATAAAAAATGCAAGTAGAAAAATAGGGACCACCTTTGGTGGGAAGGTAACAGTGTTCCATGCGCCTTTGGCGTTTAGTCATGCCGGCCACATGACCACAGAGACGTCTTCGGACAGCGCTGGCTCTTCGGCTTTGAAACAGAGATGAGCACCGCCCCCTAGAGTCAGGAATGACTAGCATATATGTGCGAGGGGAACCTTTACCTTTACCTTACAAATATATGTGCAGTATATTTTTCTGCTATTGTTTAAATGGTCCATCATTTGTGAAATCCTGTTTCAGACAATTCAGATATTGTCTGAAACAAAGATAACATTCTCGTTAAAACATCCATATTAATCACAGAAATTTTTCCCAAGAATGATAATAGTACTTTGATAATAATAATAATAATTAATAATAATAAATAATAATAATAATAAAAACTTTATTGTCATTGTATGTGTATACACAGTATACCCATATAACGAAATTCACTTAACACCCAAAGACCAGGTCCAACACACATAACAATCCCCAAACACACCCCCACCCACCACAAATTCCCCACCCGTAAACCACCCAAACATCCACACAGACTAAGTAATCTTAATGTATCCTTTTTTACTTCATTCCACATTTTAACATAATTATTTTGAAACAGCACACGGTTCAAATATTTTACCTTCTTCTCAACCTAAAAAATCATTTTATTCATCAATTATTAAGCCACTCGGGTTCAACATGTAGGGGAGATAGGTGGCATAAAAATGTAATTGATTGATAGATAGATAATATTTAATAAATAAATAAATGTTTGATCTTGTATTTTCATATTTTTGTTATCATCTTTGTCTTTTGTTTATTAATCTTAAACCTGCTAATGTACTAAATTCTTTTCATTTACACATTATTCATTCAATTCTCTTTAAAGGATCTTCCAGAACAAACACCAAATCATCTACAAAAGCTCTTAATTTATGTGTCACTTTTTAAAATCTTTACACCCACAATCTTCTGGTCTTGCCTTATGTTTCTTATCAGCATTTCAAGATCTAAAATAAACAAGAGAGAGGACAATGGACAGTTCATACTCAAGCTCTTATACCACAAACTTGATAGTCCATTTGGACTATCTTTCTTGTTTTATTCTTTTTTGTGGTTTCTGAAAATTTCCTTATTGTTATAAATTCCTTCATAATTTGCCTTTGTTATTCTGTAATCCTTGATAAATTTTGTTTTCTTATATACTGCATTAATTTCTATTTTCCAATGGATTGTTTGTTTGTTTGTTTGTTTGTTTATACACATTTCTAAACCACCCATCTCCCTCAAAGATGGATTCTGGGTGGTGCACAATATAATATAACCAATAAATAAAGCAATATATAAAAATTAACATTAAAAATTAAATTAGGGTTAATATTTTTTAAATTATGGAATAATGACAAACATCAAAAGGGGAAAAACCCTAAAATGGCCATTTAATATCAGATCATTAAGGTGGGGGCCCTTACTAGCCAGCCCAATGGTGTCCTGGTCTTCTGTGCCCGCCATACAAGGCCACAGAGCCAAATTTTAAGACCTTTGCAGAAGGCCGAAAGACTGGGGGTTTTCTTCACCTCTGGAGGCAGGATGTTCTGCAAAGCAGAGGTAACAGCAGAAAAGTTTCTCTTCCTAGACCTATATTATGTCCTTCATGAAAATTAGAATACTACTGATATTTTTTTGGGTATAACCATGTTATCCATTAATATAGTATCTCCCTCTTGTAATTTCAATATTGGTTTCTTTTTTCTTTCTTTTCACAATTTACAGTATATGCCAACCAAGAATTTCCCAAGAATTCACATGGGATCACTGTTGCTGAAAAATCTTAATTTATTGAGAGATGCTTGTATTCCCTGGGAAATGTTTTAATGATTCTTCTTTCCATTTTATCCAAAATATTTTGTATTTTCTCTTCTTCTTAAATTCAGAATTATGTTGATCAGGTAACTTTTAATAAAGACTTTACTTGCATCCCAAACCATTATTATATTCATGCCTTTATTTAAATTAATTTTTAAAAAACTCTTAATTTGTTTTTACAGTCTTCAACAATTGCTTCTTTCCATGGCAATGCTTCATTTAATCTGTATCTAAAATATCTAGATTTCCTTTCCCTCCCTAGATTTCTCTCACAATAATCTGAAAAAGTCTTTGGTAAAATCTCTATTTTATACTATACTATACTATATTATAGTATACTATACTAGTATACTATTGCCACAAAGGTCTGGTCTCTTTGACTAGCTTACTTCAAATTTATGCCAAAGTACTTGTCTCAAGAATGAAAATAGTAAAAAGGAAAAAAAAGGAAATTTACTGTTCCCCTTTATCTCTTTTTAAAGTTTCTTAAATCTTGCTTTTGTTAAACTTTTTGCAAAAAATATTTGAATCTTTAAATCCTTAAAGGCTCTTATTTATTTGTGTAATCTGAAAAAGTTTGAGGGTTATTTCACAATCTCTCTTGATACAGGAAGATTTCAGTCCTTCAATCAGCATTGCTGGCCATGATGTAATAACAATAACAAAACAACAGAATTGGAAGGGACCTTGGAGGTCTTCTAGTCCAACCCCCTGCTCATGTCTCTCCATTCCTTTTTTAAAAAATAAGTTTTATTAAATTTTCCAAGTTAAAATCAACATAAGACAAAAACATTGATTATACATAACAACAAAAACCATACATTCCCCTCCCTCCCTCCCCCATTCATAATACTAGACATACAAACACATCTATCCCGGCAGATAATATTCCTGCCCTCATTAATAAATAATTGTGCCCACAAAACAGAATAAAATAAATAATCCCCAAATATGGTTTTAATAAAAGGATTGAGATGAAGTGAGGGCCTAGGTCAATATGAGGAGAGATATACTTATCTAGATTGAAAGATAATTGTTTGAAAACCATGTCTCTCCATTCCTATGGAGGTACCAATTTCCCAGAATTCCTCACTGAAAGCTAGAGATGCTTGAATTCTGTTCTTGATCATATTTAATCATTCTTATTTTATTGAATTTTGTGCTCTTGTTGGAAATTTTGTTATGAAACTATTTATATGGTACACATGAATCACAGAATTGATCAGTGTGTGTCTCCAGTTGAATTTAATGAGGAAGTCATTTATGATGTGGCATTTCATCTACACACTTATTAAAAGGATGTGATTCTTTTTTTAAAAAAATTGTAGGTAGGCTTCCTGGGAATTAGTTATCTGTATCTTTTAAATGTTAGTGTCTCATCTTGGGTATATTCTCCTTTATGGTTGTGTTTAAAAAGCTAAGGTGGCCATAATTTCTACTTACAGTTAGATGCCGAGCAAGCAGAATTACATTTTCAATTATTCATAATTATGACTGGAATATTCCCTGAAATATAATGGCATTAATTAAATTTATACCCAGCTAGAGTTATTTGAATTCCCATTTCAAACGATTATTTCTGCTGCAGGAAATAATGCACAAAATTTAAAAATTAGTATTAGAAAAATTACCTGTAGTTAATTTCCAGTTTAGTTTCTACCCAACATATTCCTGTCAAAGCCAGCATCAAGATCAGAGCAAAGTCATATCCCACTCAATGCATTTATTTATTAGACATTAGCCAACAACAAAACTGTTAACTGGTAAAATAGATAAAAGGAGGCAGAGAAAAGCATGAGGAATAAGCAACCATTATCTTTATATCTGTCTGTTTTAAAGGGCCACTGGAAAGAGTATTGTAGGCAATTAGCAGAAATATTTCCAAAGGAGGAATTTTGAGTTATTCCAGCCTTAACCATCTTTATGTATGCAGCAGGATTTAGATGGAAAGTAAGGGTGATCTCTCCTCTATTTGGCATTGTGAGGGATGCATTTTTGGAATGAGATGATATATCTAACATTTAGTGATAAAGTACTCGCAGCAGAAAGCAGTAAGTTGCTCCCTGCTTTTGACATGAGAACAGACTGTTTGAGGAGGGCTGGACCTTCATTGATAGAGGTTAGATGACCATCTGCTAGGAAAGCTACAGCAATGGCTTTCTGTACTGGGATGGATTACATGACCTCCAGGAACCGTGGTAGTACAGTGGTTAGAATGCAGTATTGCAACCCTGAATGCCTCAGGGTTGGCTCAGCCTTCCATCCTTCCTTTACCTCATTTTTGGTAAAATGAGGATCCAGATTTTTGGGAGCAATATGCTGACTTTGTAAGCCTCTTAGAGA